AAATACTATGGGAGAAGGGGCTATTATTTTTTAAATTAATGTAATATCTTAGAAAAATAAAACACTTGGAAACTAAATGACATGTACTTTGTTAAAATGTGTACTCTTGTTGGTTTTATGGAGGTGATTCCATATTCTGAATGGACACAACCTGATATATATAAAATAAACAGAATCTTAACCATGACTTATTTTTGCAAGTATAACCTAAGAATATTCTACTTTATTGAATATGATGGAGAAAGTGGACTCTAGAATATTGTATAAACTCAAAAATGCAACCCATCAATTAATATATATATTAAGTGATATATATTATTGTATATCTATGGTGAATTATCATACAATTTTTTTTGTTGACCTTTAAAAGTGTTCACAAAAGTATCAAATTGTACAAATTACCTACAGATGTGCCTATCAATAGAGAAATCTTCAAAAGATAAATCTAGTCAAATAGTGTATTTTAATGTCAACCAAATGATTGTTTTTGTCTCATTCATCTCAGTTATAGTTTGACATGGCAATAAATTTCTCTTTCTTTTTCGTGTATGTTCCTTCCCCACAGGATGAGGTGTTTTGGTTGAATCTTTGTCTAGCTTATATTATTTATAATTGATCCTTCAGCCTTTTCCTTTAGATTTACTTAACTCAAACTTTTAGAAGAAAATGGAAAAAACTTACTGATGTTGGATCTTGCCGTGATTTCTTGGATATAACACCAGAAGCTCAAGCAACAAAAGAGAATAAATTGAACTTCATCAAAATGTATAGCTTTTGTGCATCAAAGAACACAGTGAAAGACAACCCAGAGAATGAGAGAAAAGATCTACAAATCATGTATCTGATTAAGGGTCTAATACATCTGATAAGGGTTTAATGAGTAGAATGTGTAAAGAACTCTCACAACTCACCAGCCAAACAAAATAAATAAATAAATGCAATTCAGTAGAAGCAGACAAAATACTTCCTCAAGAAAGATAATACAAATGGCCCATACACATGTCAAAAGATGCTCAACATTACTACTTGTGAGGGGAAGGCAAATCAATACCACTTGACCTCCACTAGGATGGCTGCTATCAAAAAGCACAATAGGGGAACCAGCAGTTAGCGTAATGGCTTTGTCGCTGGACTCGCACGTAGTTGACCGCGTACCTCTTGATCTTCCCTAGGATAGCTACTATCAAAAAGCACAATAGTTCCAGCCACAGTGGTGCAGCCAGAAGGACACTGCTATGTGATGGCCAGGGCCTCATGGGAGATCCAGGTTCATTTCCCAGCCAAACCTAAAGACAAGTCTAACACAGTGGCATGTGTCAGTGGACCTGGCTGGCTGGGAGGCTGGATCAAGAAGAATCATTATATGGAAAGATCCTGTCAGAAATGACTTACTGTCCTTCCCATGCTCACTTGCTTCTCTTAAAATATTATTGTTAAATAAGCAAATGTTGGCAAGAAGGTGGAAAAAGTGGAATCTTCATGAGAATATAAAATGATGCAGGGGCTATTAAAGACCATATGTAAGTTCCTCCACATAATTAAATATCCATTACTGAAAAGTCTAGCATTCTATCAGGGATATTCCTGAACAATGTGAGAACAGAGACTAGAATAGATATCTGTAAACCATTGTTCATAGCAGCATCATTCACAATAGCCAAAAGGTGGATGTTGCCTGAGTGTCCATGGATAGAAGAATGGATAAACAAAACATAGTACATACATGTAAAGGAATATTGGTCATCCTTAAAAAGGAATTGCAGATTTTTATAATATTCTACAATGTAGATAAACCTTCGAAATGCTAAGTGAAATGACACAAAAGGACAAATGCCGAATGTTCCCACTTACATGAGTTACATAGAAGAGTCAAATTCAGAGATGGTAGAGTGGTAGTTACCAGGAGTGGAGAGAGCGCAGACTAGAAAGCTTTGTTTAATGAAAATGGGTTCAGTTTCAGACAAAATAGTAAATTTTATGTATAATTTACTTATACCTCCCCACACACTCAACTTGAAAAAAACTTATGTACACTCTTGTAACTGAAAATTAGGGGCACACTTCTGCAACTGTTAGACTCAGAGTGTCAACAATGATAAAGATCAGTTAGTGAACTACATTTAAAAAGAAAGAGCTCAAATCAGTAACCTAACATTACACCATAAGAAACTAGAAGAAACTAAATCCCAAGCCAGCAGCAAGAAGGAAATTAAGATCAGAATGGAAAGGGCCCGATGGTACAGCAAGAACACAGCTTGACTCAGATAGGAATGTCCCACCTTACATCCTGAGATCTCCCTGTACTTTCCAAGTGTGCACTTTCACATGCCTGTGATCATGGCAGCCTGAGGCTGGGAGTATATCATGGTGTAAGAACCCTGTTGGCAGTATCTCTCTCTGCTCTCTCTCACAGAAAAAAATAAAGTTTCCAAAGGAAAAATAGAATGGGAATAAGCAAAATAGAGCATATGGGCCAGCTCCACTGTGCAGCAGTAACACATTGCTCAAGAGAAGCTGATTCCACACAGTGACCGTGATGAGAATCCCTGGCTGGGTTAATCAGAAACATGCAGCAAGTATTCAAGATCCAGTGGACTAGAAGACTGGAGGAAAGGGACTGAGGTGTGACCAGGCCTTGGGGAGGCTTCTCTATGCCCTCCAAGGACAAAAGACACTGTGAACCCACTGATGCTCGTTATTGCAAGGCATCGCTTCCTCTTGAGTGTGTACATGCTCTTCCCTCTCCTATCTGTTCTGGCTTGCATGCTTATGGCTCCCGGCTAGTAGGGCAGGTAATTTATGCTGATTCTACAGATAATAACAGGATCAACACTGCAATGCAGAGACTTTGCCCCGATGCCCAGCTGTCATTCTGTGAAGTCAAGTTCAATCAGGATTTTTCCAAATTACAAGGTCTTTCATTACTGTTCACTTGATGCATGTATATTAGGAAGTGGTGGTTAGGGAGAGCAGGACACAGAAGAATAGAAAGAGAGCACTCCTAGGGCATCTGATACTCTGATACTAGAACAGGCCAAGCCAGGGGAAAGGTGGCCACACAGCGGAGTCTGGGCTGTGCTCTTTGATGATTCGTTGCCCACCATGTACTTGAGCTTGCACAGCCTGTGAAGGGCCTCATCCTCCCTCCTCATGCTAGGACCCAAGGCAAAGGCTTTATTGGAAAGCGGTGAGCAGGAGACCTCCAGGAGATGGAGTCCCTACAGCCAGTGT